TAAAATAGATTTTATCGATTAATTCATTTTTGGTTTTTGAAGATTTAAGGAGGATTTTTTTTTTTTCCCCACCAATCCATGTCATGAGTGTCAATAGTTCAGAGTGATGTCAGCACGCCCACGGCGGCCATCTTGTTCACAAGCATGTTTCACAGCTTCTGTTGATTCGAACTTTAAATTCACGTCAAATCTACAACAGAACATTAGAACCGGACTAGTATATATATATATTTTTTTTTCAGTTACAAAAATATGTCATAATTTTATAAAAAATAAATATCAAAATAGCAAGATAAAGTTGAAATATTACCAGAACAAAGTAGTAATTTTATGAAGGCGCCAACACAAAAAACATAACAAAAATTAAAATCAGGTATGTTGAGCATCTTGTAAAGTCACACTTGGTATTGGTTTAACAAACAAAGACATCCTTCATCTTAAACACATCAGAACCGTTACTATCAGGGTCAGGACTTTGAATCAATAGTGGAAACAATCCTCAACACCATTAATTTTTGAGGACTGAGCTGGAAAGTCTCGTTTTGCGGGTGAACTCACCCAGCGTACGGCCGCTGGTAGAGCATCTCTGGATCCAGACTGGCCACGTCGACGGTGATCGCCTCGTCGAAGTTCTTCAGAATCTTGATGGCGGCTTTCTTGGCTCCCTGCTGCAACGGGGGCACAACGGGGATTTGTCTTCATGAAAGCGACAAAGACCAGCGGAACGATCGCGACCTCGTCGTCGTTACCGCGACCCGGCGGGACGGCTGAAAATGTCAGTCTGTGTGGCTCGACGTGCGCAGCTCACCTGAACCTGGGAGCTCTCGCCGCCGGCGTTCAAGCCAGGGCGGTCGCCGTCTGCCGGCACGCCCTGACCTTGACCTTGACCTTGACCGCTCACGAACTCGTCGCCCCGCACCGAGTTGATGAGGTCGCTCAGGTATTTGTAGTATATGTTGCTGGACAGGAAGCCGGGCAAATACACCTGAACGTTTCCAAAACAGTTGGACGAGCAAACATTAACGACAAGCCTTTGCAGCTGATCGTTTCCTAAGTTGAAGTTCATGTCGGATATAATTCGTCATCAGAAAAATGGCCTCAGTCTCATGTGACGTTTAGCCCCAAAATATTTGCACTAATAATTTAGATTATCTCTTATTCCATCATTTCCTTTATCAGTGAAACACTTTAAACACTTCTGTCTAGTGCCATTAAAAAGAAATTGATGTTTACTAAATTGCTAATTAGTCATTTACAAGTTAACACCACCTTAACTGACAGCGCTTTGTTACAAGTGGTAGAAAATTATTATTATACGCCCCGAGGGCGCTTTCATCTCATCAGAGACTCTGACCTTCTCCATGGTTGTCCAGGCCTGTCTGAGAGGCGTGGTGAAACAGTCAGGGAGCGGCCCTCCCTCCCGGCAGATGTTCGACTCGATCTCCATCCGCACCGAGTCGCCGAAGCCCAGAGGATTGGTGGCCTGGAGTGAGAAATACCTGGACAACAACAAAAAATTTAAATATTAAAACAAAAAAACAAAACAGCATGATCTGTGCTCAGATCAAGACACTAAACTTACTAACAAACACTTAGCACAAGCGCATGTTTAATAAGTACAATTTGATTGCTACAACAGTGAAATAAATGAGGGATTTAACATTGATTACTATTATTCTTAAAGATTTATGTCAGACAATAATATGACAAATAATCATGCAAGTGATATATATCAGTTGCATGGATAATACCTGGAATAACTGGTCGTCCAGACCTCTCAGACAGACCTGGACGACCATGGGGCCTGAATAATACCCGTGTTAAACGGACAGCGGAGTCCGGCGATGACGGGCGCTTAAATTCCGTAACAAAAGTATGTTTTTATCTTTTTTTTAATCTTTTTTTTTCTTTCCAAAATCTCTTTCTCTTTCTTACTGTTTATTCAATGTCACATGCTGCTCTTATTTTTTCTTTAATTATGTAAAGCACCTTGAAATGCCTTGCTGCTGAAATGTGCTATACAAATAAAATTTGATTTGATTTTGACTTGATATGTATAAAAATGACATTGTGATTTCTCTCAGAAAAAGCCACACCCGAAGCTTCTTAGGGTTTTAGATTCGTACTTATCATAGAGGATCATGGCGTCGTTTTGAGCCTCCTGGCCGTCATACTGGCCTTTCTTAGCAGCCAACTGGTTCTGGAAGTTATCCGCAGCCAGCCAGAACTGTAGTATATTCATCGCCTCTTCCTTCTCCATGTACTGTCAATGAGAGAACATGAAGCCCATGAACAAGTCCAAAAAACTACAGGGCGTCTCTGCAGGATCGCTCTGATAGCAGGTTAGTACACAGCCGCAGCAGAAATCCTTGTTTCTTTACGTCTTCCTGACTTGTTTTCGTGTGTGTGTGTGTGTGTGTGTGTGTGTGTGTGTGTGTGTGTGTGTGAGATTTATTATTGTCACTTTGTCACTCAGCATCTGTGCTTTTGAGGACCGCCGCAAAATACGGAGTCAACAGGAGGCGCAGACTGTGTGAGAAAAAAAAAGGTGAGAAAATTGGGCCTACTCACCTCTGAGAAATAGAAGAGCGCTGACTCACAGAACAAGATGTCAGCCAGGAACACGGAGCCACTCGTCAAAACTTCAATCTGGTATTTACAGAAATGGTGGCTCCGCAGGAATTCGGTAAAGTGCCTGGAAATCAAAGGGCACACGAGGGAGGCGGAGACATCCGTTACCGAGGATGTCACACACACACGCACACAAAAAAAAAAAAAAAAAAAAAAAGAAGAGAGAAACTCCCTGTTGTTCCAGTATGGAGAAGACAACCGACTGTGCAATGACGAAGCAGTTTGGGTCCACCATGCCGTCCTCTCCGCAAATCTTAGCTGAGTGGAAGGAGAACAGGGGAATTTTTTTTTTTTCTTTTACCTTTTTCTGGCTTCAACCAGAGGTTTTTTTTTTTCCATCGAGAGCCACTGACGCTCTGCGTCTGTTATTCTTCTTACCGACTATATCGTTTCTGATCTGCTCTGTGATGGGGATGGGCCTTGCAGCATCTGGAGAAATGTATTTGGTGAAGATGGTAACAGCATCCTTTTCCATACCTGCAAACGCAGAAACCCGCAGCTCATCATCTGCCACATTGCAAGCACAGACGTCCATTTAATTCACTGGGCTTTAATGTAGGGCTGAAATGATTAATCGAGCTTAATTAGATTAAATGTTTATAACTGTGATTAATCCAATTAATTGCGATTAATTGATTATTGAAATAGTCAGCAATTAATTTAGCAAATCGATTGATCGCTAACTGGATTTTACAGACTCCAAAGAAAAAAAAGAAGAAAAAAAAA